GGGCGGTCAGTACGGGCGTTTGAGGCGCCCGACTGAATCGAAAATTCATGACCGACGTTCGAGGAGGATTTGAGGTGCCGGGTGTAGACGCCGTTAACTCTTTGCTAGAACTTCACACTCCCTCCGTCCGTGAATAAGTGTACTTCTAGATTTTGTCTCAAGTCAAAGTTTTAAAATTTTGACCAACTTTATAGAAAAAACTGGTAACATATATGACATCAAATTGCTATAGTATGAAAGTACATTTCAAAACGGATATATTGATACAAATTTAGTGCCATAGATGCTGCTATTTTTTTCTATAAAGGTGAAATTTATAAAAGTTTGACTTGGGACAAAATTTAGAAATACACCTATTCGTGAATGGAGGAAAACACGCATGCAATTTAAAATCAAACCACAAATGTACTAATAATGTGTTTCTGTGATTTATAAATTATATCATTGATTTTCTTTTATAATATGGATTCAACGAGCAGTACATTGTTATATATAATTCACATATGGTCAATCTAACTTTTGGTCCAAAATATAATTTTGAAATGCGTGCCGGGCCCATTCATTGGAATTGAAATCATATGCTTTGAAATATTTAACCAAAAACTACCACATTTCACGGAAACGTGACATAAAACTAACACTTTCCGATTTTGTGCGGAAAACTATCACTTTTGTCCTAATCCGTGGCAAAAAACCTACCAAGTCTCGAAACCGGTCGCTTCGCCCGTGCTAAGCACCAAACAGACCAGCTGGTTCCATGTTTCAGGTGCCACGGTGGCCAACCGACGCCCGCCGCGTGTTAACGGCGCGTCCACGGTCGAAAACGGCGGTTGTCGGTTTGCGTTCAATGCACCAAAATATGAGACCGGCCATTTGATGTTGATCCTCTGACGACGCCGTTTCCGACCGCGGACGCACCGTTAACGTGCGGCGGACATGGTTGGCCACCGTGGCGCCTGAAATATGGGACCGGCTGGTTAGTTTGGTGCTTAGCGCGGGTGAAGCGACCGATTTCGGGACTTGGTAGTTTTTTGCCACGGATTAGGACAAAAGTGATAATTTTCCGCATAAAATTATAAAGTGATTGTTTTCTGTCACGTTTCCGTGAAATGTGGTAGTTTTTGTTAAATACTCTGTGGTTTGTGAACCGGCAGCGCCCTAATTTTGATCTAAGATAGACTTCATAACTGACCCGGAGTGTGGTTATATAAACACGAGCTCCACCAGAATGGTCTACTATATTCCTCCCGCCCCGTTGTTCCTGGCCAGACACGTATATCGGCGGCTACGTCCAGGTCAACAGGCGGGGGGAGACTCGGCGAGAGATCAATGGAAGGTTATCGTGGCCGGCCATGGACCAGGCTACCGGCGCTGCTGCTGGCCTGCGCCGCCGCCGCCGCCGTGGGCGAGTGCAGGGTGGTGCACGTGGGAGAGGCGCACCGGCGGAGCATGCTGGCCAATGGCCTCGGCGCGACGCCGCCCATGGGGTAAGCTCGCCGCTGCTTAACTGCGGTGCAACTTAGCATAATCCTTGATCAAATCGAATCCCCTTTTCTATCTCTCTTCGGCAGGTGGAATAGCTGGAATCACTTCGCCTGCGACGGCAACGGCGAGGTTGTCATCAGGGAGACCGGTACCAGCTGACCTCGTAGTCCCTTTGCTTCTTATTTACAAAGTAGTAGTGGTATACTGTTGAACTGTCCCATGGGGTAAAAACTCTTTTACTATTTTATTCTCTTGTACTATGTATGTCTACTTGAGCAGCCGATGCGCTTGTGTCCACCGGGCTCGCCGCTGCCGGCTACAAATACGTCAATCTTGGTGCGTTGCTGCCACTCTCTCATACGCCCTCGCTTTTTTTTTGTCTGTGTGTGCTTCCCTGTTTGTGTTGGACGAAATATTTTACGTGATGAAATCGATTGATTAATTACAAGTGGACAAAGTGGATTGAGCCAACTTCGTGTGTGTGATTTTTTTTTTCTCTGCAGATGATTGCTGGGCAGAACCCGAACGTGATGCGAAGGTTTGTACAAAATCTGCCCTCCCGGTGTCCAGTGTCTGAACACTCTTCTGGACTGCACATGATCATCTGTCACACATGTTTATGCTGCTGCAGGGCAATCTTGCGGCGAACAAGAAGACGTTCCCGCACGGGATAAAGGCACTCGCAGACTACGTCCACAGCAAGGGGCTCAAGCTCGGCATCTACTCCGATGCTGGGTAATTTACCGTGACTGTCGTCGTAGTAAGCTGTGACGGTAATTTACCCTTCTCTGATCTTAATTTTGTGTGAAGATACAAGACATGCGCCAAGGCTCAGCCTGGGTCCCTCGGCCACGAGGAGCAGGACGCCAAGACCTTTGCCTCCTGGGTGAGCGATTGATTCCAAAACTTGTGCATATCTCTGATGTGTTTTTGTTCACTCCATCCATGGGATTTGCTTGCTGGTTTCAGGGAGTCGACTACCTCAAGTACGACAACTGCAACAACGGCGACACGAAGCCGCTGCAGAGGTACCCTGACATGAGCAAGGCTCTGATGCAGGCCGGCCGACCCATCTTCTTCAACCTCTGCGAATGGTAACACCACCGTGTTGTGTATATGCACAGTGCGTAGCTGATTCGAGTTGTGTATTCTTGACGAGTTCCTCATTCTCGTCCTCTTGTCCTTGCCGGCGACGGCGATGGTGAGCAGGGGCGACATGCACCCGGCGCGGTGGGGCGCGGCCTACGGCAACAGCTGGAGAACCACCAACGACATTGAGGACACCTGGAACAGGTTGATATCTTGGCCCGTTTCCCCTTTTGGCCATCCTGCTGGCTGCTGCAACTCTGTCATTCAGATTGTTCAGAGGAGAATGGTTTGGTGTTTCAGCATGACGTCGATGGCGGACCAGAACGAGGTGTGGGCCGAGTACGCGCGCCCCGGCGGCTGGAACGGTCAGTAGTCAGTCCCTGGAACAAACTCCTCATCTTACGAGTTCATGGATGGACTCGTCTTATCTTGGCTTGTTTTTGGTTGGTTTTGACGCTCTGGTACGTGGCGTGGCATGCAGACCCGGACATGCTGGAGGTGGGCAACGGAGGGATGACCAACGACGAGTACATCGTGCACTTCAGCATCTGGGCCATCTCAAAGGTCAGTCACTGACTCACCCATGGCTACATACTCTGTATTTTATCTCGTTCTTTTCTTCTCTGAATGTACCCGAACCGTCTCTGCTGGATGTGCGTAGGCGCCTCTGATCATCGGCTGCGACGTGAGGCACATGTCGCAGGACACCTACGACATCCTCGCCAACAAGGAGGTGATCGCCGTCAACCAAGGTGGTCTTCAGATCCCCTTGCGCTTGTCAGTTCGGGCTCCCGCTCTCGCGTTTGCATTGCCAGCAGGGTGAACTGATCGACCGTGGCGTTTCTTGGTTTAGATCCTCTCGGCGTACAGGGGAAGAAAGTGAGGATGGAGGGGAGCAGCGAGGTAACAGACGCTGCACCGCACTGCACTCTCCGATAATCCGAACTTCCCACATCGTAAACCAAGAACTGTGACCGAACCGTGATGTGGTACGCAACAGATCTGGGCTGCGCCGCTGACGGGGTACAGGACGGCGGTGCTGCTGCTGAACCGGCACGCCAAGGACGAGGCCCAGATCACGGCGCACTGGGACGACATCGGCCTCCCCGCCGGCACGGCCGTCGACGCCAGGGACCTCTGGCTGGTACGTCTCTACCTTTCCTCGTCAGCAAGCAAACAGAAACAGACGGCATGGATGAATCATCTTGACCGTTTCGTGGTTTTTTTTTTGTTGTTGCCGCAGCACAAGACGCTCGACGCCAAGTTCACGGACAAGATGAGCTTCAACGTGACGCCGCACGCGGCCAGGATGTTCGTGCTCACGCCTCTCAAGTCCCAGATGGACTAAGGAAAAACGACATGGGTTGATGCCCGTTCCGAAATATACATTTTCCCCCTGCTACTTCTATTTTTTCCGTAATAGTTTGGAAGTGGTTTTTAGCGTGTAATAATTTTTTGACAACTTTTAGTGTGTGTAATAAGTAGTACCATGCAGCAGGCGCGGTGAGCAATTTCCAAATCATTTTAAAAAAATTGTGTAATAAATTTGAGTGTTTATATCTTAATACTTGTTCAACATACTATTCTTTCTTTTGACATCAACATAAACAACTAGTCACTTGTGAGGTCATAGGCTTAACACTTGGAATTTTAGAGGAAAGGTAGGGCCTGATTTTATGAATAAAGTCAACCGGTGAGCAGGGCCGGCCCTGGGGAGGGGCAGGGGGGGGCGGCCGCCCCGGGCCCCCAAACTCGAGGGGGCCCCGCCCAGGTACGCAGGTATCCGTCGGGGAATTCAGGGAAGTCTGTAATTAGGGGCGAAACTCCAGGGGCGCACACACCTTCCTTCTCCAGCGTGGCAGCGTACTCTTCACAGCTTAGGAAACGAGTGGGCCTAGCCCAAGTAGTAATTAGCAGGGTTGTTAGTAACGCATATACACGTCCCTTAAAAGGATCAGCTCAAAAAATAAAACGTCCCTCAAAAGGAAAATAATAATGCATATCCACGCACAACGAACGGATCGAGGAGTTAGCGGCGGATCGGCTGATCGGCGATTCAGCACCATCACGATTCAAGCAAACGAATGCGGCGGCGCAGGCACGACGCTATTGCCGGGTGTCAATTTCCTCCTCATCTCCTACAGTCTGCTCAATTAATCATCTGCGTGGTTGCCGGCTGTGTGCCTGTACCTCGTCCTCATCGCCCAGTGAGGCCACGACGCCGATCGGCGCAGCGGCGCCTAGCCAACCTCGCCACATCCCCCATCCTCACGTACGCCAGATGAGGTAGCCTATGCCGTAGCATTTTTTTTCCCTATAGAAACTGATACAAGTTTATAAATAGTACTATTAATATTGCTTTTCTATTGGTGTGAAAGGGCATTATCAGGCGTTGTTGTTTGCGAGTTGGATGTTATAATTGGTTGTTTACATGTACCAATTGCTTACTTCATATATAGAGATGAGTTGATCAAATTGCATATATGATCCGCTAGTTTTCAAGAGGAATATGAGCGATTCAAGTGATCTGAATGAGGCGGTGGTATTTGCTGTGGAAAAGCAAACTATTGTTAATCAAGAGGATGAAGGTCCTATGGAAGATATGCTGCCCAAGTCGACACATTTAAAATTATGTGAGTGATCATGAGCCCATATTTAATTTATCGATTTAGTAGCATTTATAAAAACATTTTTCATTACGAATATTTGTGATATAAGAATTTGAAATAATCTAGATAGCGAAATGAAGGGACAAAACATACTATATATTTCGATTCGATGTCTATATTAGGGGGCCCTCTGTTCTACTTTCGCCCCGGGCCCCCGAAATCTCAGGACCGGCCCTGCCGGTGAGTCATCCACTAAACAATATGCAATAGCAAATAAGTAAACCTCTCGTCCGCCTCCGCCTCTTCTCCGCCTCCTCTCCCCTCTGCCTCCCTTCCAGACACCGCCGGATCCCGGCTGGGCAAAGCCCGTGCGGGGGGATGATGGCGGCGGCGGGGCGTCCCTCCGTCGCGGCTTGGAGGCGTGGCTGTGACGGTGTGTGTGTGGCCATGGCGCCTGGCACGCAGCGATGTGACCTCCCCTATCTTTGTCTGTCTTCATCGTTGATCCAAAGGGATCTGCTTGGTGGGTGTTGCCTCGTGGTGGCTTCCCGGCGACGAGTCAAGTGATGGAGGAGTTGGTGGCCTAACTGCTGAAGTGGGTGAGGATGCCACCATCGTTGATGGCGCCCGTGGTGTCGTTTTCCTCGTTGGAGGCGATGGTGGGGGCGTCCCTCACTCCATTGTTCCTGGGGGAAACCTCATATCTGGAGGAGGCTAGTTGGAGGCGTTGAGGGGCCTCCTAGATCGGATGATGGCGACGTCTTCGTCATCACCCCCGTGGGGGCATCATCTTTAGAGACATTCGTCGGCTGGACGGACATGTGGACGGCTTGGTGGTTCGGCGTCGGTAGGTGGTGGAACGATGCTTCATCCTACACATCGATGGCGGCGAATCTCGACGGCGTGGCGCAGTGGAGACTCGGCGTCCGATGGATGACGATGGACTTGTGCATGAGGACGACGCTGCCCGGCATCGTGGTGGCGTCGATGGTAGAGAGGCCTGTCAAGGTCGATGCGTCAGTATCTGATCTGAGGATGGATCGGTGGATGAAGGAGGTGACGACCCTTGCAGTGTGTGCATGTGGTGCCCACTGAAAATGCGGCGGACCGGTGTGTAACCCAGTCCAGGCATTGTGGCTTGAATGGGGCATCCAACACTAGATGTTACGTGTTGGTGTGATGTCTATTTGATATTGGGTTCAGACATTCGGCACCCCTTCATCATGGGAATAAGAATAGTGACAGGTGTTGTCAAGATGATGATTTCAGGCTTACTAATGCAGTATCTTGTAAGTGCTTTATGAATAATTAATAAAATAGCTTCATGCATAGTAGATGCAAAGCACGGGGTAGATCCTCCTTTTTTAAAAGCAAATAAGTAAACCGCCACTCAGGCCAAGTACAGACCACAAGAGTCGGGTAAACAAGCGCGCATGCCGCCCCAAGGAACAACAAAACAAGACCAAGCTATGTCCGAGCAGTCGTCAGGCCGAGGTCGATGGCAGAGGCACAAATCTTGGAAATGATCATTACCCGGTGAGCCATTTTTTTTCTACAATCCAGCGACGATGGGTCATTGGTTTTGCTCAAACTGGCGAGTTTTTTTGGTGAAACCATACATATGTGTTGTTATAGCTGTGTTTTTCTTCACGATTGTCGTTGTTTTGCGGAACCATGTTTTTGTGTTTTGCTGGAGTCATGCCTTTTGCTAAAACCAGGTCATTGTTTTGCTGCAACCACCACACGAGGCGAGCTGCAACCATGGAAGGCGACCTCGACCGGGGCCATTGTTGCAGGAGAAGACATGCGGGGGAGACGGTGGTTGGTGCCGGGAGGAGAAGGTGGTGAGCGTGGTAGGCAGTCCAGAGGGGAAAACCCTATTCGCCACTCGCTGCGGCAAAGTGTCGGGTAATCGCACAGAGCAGCCGAGCGAGCTACAAACATGGGCCGGTCCACTTCCAGATTTACACAGGCCATTCAAACAAATTTGGGAACCTTCTAGAAGGTTCCCTGAACCGTGGTTTTTCCTGTTTTGTTTATTTTTTGGGTTTTCCGACTTTCTTTTACTTTTTTCATTTTTCTTTTCCATTTTTTTCCTTTTTCTCTTTCTTTTTTTCAAGTTTATTTCCCTTTTTCAAAAAGTGTCCAGAAATTTCAAAAATTTGTTCAAAATGTATGAAAATATTCTTGTTTCCAAATTTTGTCAAAAATGTACAAAATACAAAAATATTAAAATTTCAAATTTTGTTCTCATTTTCAAAAAAATCAAAATTAGAAAAAACAGAAATTTCAAATATGTTCTAATTTCCAAAATTTGTTCATGTTTTCAAAAATTGTTCAGAATCTAATTTTTTGTTCTGAAATTTTGTTCAGAATGTTAATTTATATTATCATTTTAAAAAAATTCATGTTGTTCATGTTTTCAAAAGTCTGGGGTTCAAAAATTGTTCGGAATGTTAATTTTTGTTCTCATTGTCCCAAAAATTGTTTAGAACTTCAGAATGTGTTCCAATATTTCAAAGATTGTTCATCTTTACAAAAAAACATTTTTAAAGAAATGTTCACAAATTAAAAATATGGTTGCATATAAAAAATTCTTTGCGGATTTCAAAAAATGTTTGTGTTTCCAAATTTCGTTTGGAATTTCAAAAACGTTTCTATTTTCAAAAAATTCACATATTAAAAAAATGTTAAGTATTTCGAAATTTATTCAGTTTTCAAAAAAATTCAGAATAAAAACGGTTTGAAACTCCAAAATATATTTTCGTTCCCGAAACAATATTTGGCATTTAAATATTTTCGTTCCCAAAAGATTCGATAATGTGTAAAGATTATTTTAAATGTAGCGCTTAGTTGTTGAACTAAAAGAGTTAACGTTTCTAGTAAAGCAGAAGGAGTCAACAGCAGGAGTGGCATTGGTTCATGATCGGTAAGTCTCATGTTCGATTCCTGGCATCGTCTTGCTTTTTTCTACCATTTTTACGTCGCGCTTTCCTTTCATTCGCTGCTAGTGGGCCGGCCCAGTCGCTTGTCCTCTGTGCGTCTGCGTGCTTTTGGACGTAAAGAGCGTCCAATGGGAACTCCCGTCGAGCGGAGCTGCCGTTTTTCCAATCTGGGCTATGCAGGGATGGCATGTGTTGACTTTTTTTTTTTTAATAAAGAATGTAAATTGGATTTTTTTCGTCTGTCATGACATTTTTCAGAAAAGTTCTTCTATTTCAGAGAATTCAACCCGCAATCCAGTTTTAAGTTAAACAAATCGTTATTTTTGTATTTTACACAAAAGTTCCTGTCTTTTCTTGAAATTAACCCGCCGTCCGGATTTAAGTCACACCCGAACCGTTGTTTTACATTTTTTGAAACCCCCTGATGTTTTAGATAATTCATCCGCGGATCATATTTAAGTCAATCAAATATTTTTTTAAAATCATCCATATCTTTTAAACCGTAACTCAGATTTGAACATGTTATATATGAAATTTGATTAAAAAAATATGTAGAATATGAATATGAGATAATTTTTACCTGTTAAGTATTTTTAAATATTATTTTGAAATATATTTGAGTCAAACAAAATGATTTTCTAAATTATATGTATCTTTTAAACCGTAACTTCGATTTTAACATATTATATATGAAATTTTATTAGAAAAATATGTGGAATCTAAAGATGATGTTAATTTTACCTGTTAAATATTTTTAAATATTGTTATGGAAGCAAACTTATAATTTATAGCGC